ACAGTTGTGGTTCCCAGTGGTGGGTAAGGTGACCAACCGGCCTAAGAGGCCTCCCACTTCCCGGGCCCTTAACTTTGAGGGTGGGCAAGTATCCATTCAACCTGGATAGATCTTATGATACTACGATTAATACCCAAGAGGACTAATTAATTGTTCGTGCCTGGGGGTTCCAAGAAAACCCGCGACTCGAGTCCTTGCAATCTCAAGTGTGTGAGAGGATAGTTTTGAGACACAACAAGTGAAGACCACAACGACTGGTTGAAATGAAGGAGAGCTTTTCTATCCAACATTATGTTCCTCTGGGCTTTGGCCGTGGATACAGACTTATTTCAGATGTTTGGTTTGGCTTGGGCTACCGTGAGCACAATAAAGGGTTGCAACAGTGTGGGAAGGAATAAGTGAGTTTCATGTCGAGAGGTCGGTACTGTTAGGAGAATCAGAAATCACTTGCTTCAGCAGAGTACACTGCTATTTGCGACATGAATGAGCCTATATTATCTAGTTAGTACTCTATGGCAAATAATGCACGTTGGCACAACGATTTGGCCAAGACTGCTTTAATGACAGGTCAATCCCCGCAAAACAGCAGAGCCGAAGGACGTTGCCTCCTTCAGCTAAGTGCGTTGTGGTCTACCAATGGCGAATTTGAAGCAGCCGAACATGCATACAAGGGATTCTGATCTGTTCGGCTATGAATGCCTACTATTTTCATGAATATCTTAGGCAGTCAACGTTTCCCCGATGGACTGAGCGAAGTGCAACTACACTGAATGTTGTGTGGATTGGATCCGCGTAGAGACTGATCAACTTAGCGCTGGCGGCTTTTTTCTAGCTCGTCTATTTCCCTTGCTTCACGTGCTTCTATCCTTACTAATCAGAAATGAAGATGGAGCAACATTCGGGGCCGGGAGCAAACGTCAGCACTAATGCAGTTTTAAGGAATGGTGAAAAGCCCAAAGTAAGCACGAGTAGGAGTCTTTAGGGTGATCCTCCGGGCCCACATTACCGGCGCCGTGGCTAATGCCCTTATTTCCTCGGCGCCGGAATGATACATGCCACTCCGGGACCTCAGGGTCGATGTTTGAAGCCAACTGAGTCGGCTTGACTACATAAGGCTTGATCTGGCAGGTGCCTTTTTGTGAAATCCACACGCAGATAGAATTGAAGCTTCGACACTCCTTGACATTCTAAACTCGCCAAGTCGCCGAAGCATTCCGTCTCTGAAATACGGAACACTGCAGAAATCAAACTCTCTGGTAGCGATACCAATATGGCCAATTCATCCCCTCGCCGGCGTATCGTGATTTCCAATCTCGGTCTCGACTCAGACAATGGCAACGACAAGACTGAACCTGGAGTAGAGGTAGTCACCGATGACTTGGTAACAGAAAACATGTTCGACGGCCTTCTTCAGAGAACCAAGATCGGGACCATCTCGGCTGTCCCTGCCAGCAACGAAGGACTGCAAGTAACATTCGGTCCTCCAAATCGAACGAACAGTTTATTGACTTTTTAAAGTGGCCTGCCGGTCTTTTCTGACGTCCCTGGAAGTGGAATAGTCTTGCCAGGGGGGGTGAACGTTTACTTCTTGGACTTGGCCCCTGGATACACCACTCCGATGGTAAGCTGGTGTTCTTCTCATCAAAAGTCGTAGCAAATGATTCGAAATCATTAACGTGTGTCTGGTCCTGAGTCCACCCCAAAGGCTGACTCAATCATTCCAGCATCGAACCCCATCAGTCGACTACGTTGCTGTCAACCAGGGGACGCCTGTCCTTATCACACCAAAGACTGCTTTCAGCGCCAATGATGGCAAGGCTGACTATGAAGACACTGTCGAAAGCCTGCTTCGACCGGGAGATGTCGCTGTTCAACGCGGGGCAATGCACGCGTACGTTTTTCATGTCTCTTTGAGCAAAGAAAATGCCTTTTTTGGAAGACTGAAACTAATTTGTATGATCTGCAATAGCTGGGCAAACAGAACTGATGAGTGGGTTCGCATGATCGGTATGGTAATCGACGCGAAGCCCTCCGAAGCTACGGTGGATGGAAAGCGGTTGGAGCTTGGCGAAAGATGGCTTCAGTAAGCACTGGCCCCAGAACAGAGGGTTTTGAGAATCCCAGCGGAATGCGTTGAAGCTTTCTGGTGTAGACTAGGTTGGCGATCTGAAAGGAAAGGTTACGGGGAAAGCTATCATTGAAACAAGTGCGAATAGAGATACGCGTCTAAGGAATTAACGGCTTTGGTGAATGACCACTCAGTATGTTTGACTAAGGTAATACTCTAGTATTTGTTATTCACTCCAGGCCGTGGGGTGTATACAAAGCAATCCCTGTTGTAGAAGAGTATACCCGTACCAGTCTCTTCGTTCACACCATCTTCTACGGAGACATCGAATAGCTTGCATTCTTTGGCGGCCGGCTCATATGAGAAGGACTGGCAACGAGGTGGCCGGCGCCCATCGGTGCACAACTCCCAGCATTCGTATGCGTTGTCGAAGTTTGACCCGAGACCATAGTTCCCATATGCAGGCTTGATGCTGCCCTCTACATTGCAGGTCTCATTGACCGGAGCCTGCGGTGGCCAAGTAGCGAGAGCGTTAACACCAAGTGCTAAGGCTGCAAAATATTGAAGAGTCATCATGTTTAATATGTTCGAGTTCAGAATTGGAATGTAAAGTTGATTGAGTTAACCGTTTTGCTAACTAAGTAACTCAACTGATTATGGGAAGAATGGTTGATAGCCTGGCAGCGTGCATGACACAGCTGATTAGTATTTATAGGTCAAGAATCGAAAGTTACCCCGCCCAGGTAAGCAGCGAAAGTAAGTGTCTTCCTTCCGACTGCATGATGCAGCTGACAGAGAACGTAATAGTCCAATTGGTGTTGTCGATATGCAGCCAAGCCCCAGCTCGTATCCGCCCTCGATGCTAGTCTTTTGGGGGTTAACTTGTGCTACAGCAGCTGGGCGAAATGATGACTTCAGACCGGAGTGAGGCTTGATTTGCTGCAACGGGTTGACGTGACATAATAATGAACTGCTTGTATTTAATCATTCCTGAAAGATCGATCGGCCCTGCATCTCTTGGATTATAGGCAAACATCACTTAATGATTCTACATGAGAAATTGCGAATGAGACGAGAAGCAGAATTGACCTCAGCATGACATAAAAGGTAAAGCCCTGTACTTTCTTACAACAAACCTTCGAATGGGAATGAATCGCCTTATTGTTGCGATTGCATCTGGGGAGGTGCTAATCGCGTGACATTGCCATGAGTCTTATGTCTAGTCCTGCATTGAGGACGGAACGCACCTAATAAGTGAAGACTGAAAATAAGTGCTGTATCCGATGCTAGCGGCTAGTCTCACAAATATATTCACTGTGAGAAACAAAAAGATAAGTCTACTGTCCCCCGTCGAGTGCGTCGAAGAGCGTCAGAAAACATTCGTTGTCCGGTTTTCTCTACCCCTGCTTCCAACATCTTTTTCTTTTCTTTTTTTCCATTTGAGAATATAGAATATAGAGGGGATAGGATCGGATCAGCACGTAGTCCACTTCTTCTCTAAATAAGCACGGGTTCCTGCTTATACTGACACCATTAAACACTCGACGGGATAGCTACGAAGGAAACATGAAAAGCCAGAGGGTATTCGAGCTAAAGTATGCGGATTTCGAGAGTTTCGTGTGGTACTTAGCTAGCGAACATGATTCAACAATTGCCAATGACAATCTGGCAGCTTGGCCACGAAGAATATATCAGATGGAATGATTCAGCCCGCAAAAGGTGGACCGTTTTAAAGGCTAGCTACATGTTAATCCACCACCGGGCCCGCCATTTACCGCTGACAGTGAAATAGTAGAACTTCACTACCTAACAGCGAAGCTTGCTAGCTCATGTATGTGACCAGTTGCCAGCCGTGATGAATTCCAGCCCGCAGTCTCTACTACATGTTTATGAGGAGCAGCGTGACATGTTTCCGCAGTATTGATGATAGAGTTGATCACGTGCCAAACTACTCATTACGGACGTCACCGCGTGTAAACAGGGATGAGCCTAGATGAGGCAGGTCGCGAGCTCTAGAGTATTGCCAAATAGGGCACTTACGCCGTCGACTGGGGCAACAATTCTTGGGAAATGCCGTCACAAGACCGGCATTCATTGATTGCCGCGGGGCCTTCAATCGGTAACCGGAACGCATCGTCAGCGCCAAGATCTACCGTGATACGGATGAACCACATTCTGTCTTATCCGCGTACATTCACCTTCCCTATTGGACAGATTAGCGCCACATTGCGTGATTAGGAAAGAAAGTGTTACCTCCCCCTTTCGTTTTTGACAGATCCCTGGTTCGATCATGCTTCTCAACAACTTTGTCCTGTACCAAGGATTTGGTGGTTTTTTCTGCTCTTTAGCGGAACCTCTGCGGAGTTTCAGCGGAGATACAGTCGAGCTTGGGTTCTAGATCTTCGTCGCTTCAAAATTTCGTGCCTTTCGAATTCCTATTGACGGCACATATAGCTCCTGCAAAATTCGCCGTCGAAAACTTGGCAAGCTGCGAGAACTTTCGTGTAGACAGCCGCACTCAGAGCAAGGTGGGCTCCCCGGCCAACGTCCGATGCCGCAGTAGAGAGGGAAACTGGCTAGATCAATATGCCAGTTGGAGCCCGAATATCAAGTGCCTTCTCTCATTCACCTGCCTTAAACTCATAACAGGCCCCCATGGCGGATTCGAGTCTACCCACACACTCTTGGCCTCCCCTATCGAATCATCTGGTCGTCACATCTGATAAGATTCTCCATACCCTAGGATGAGACAGGTTTTGGGGCCGAAAATCAAGGAGCATGATGCTTGTTCTACTATTACAGATTCCCAAGTAGACTCTTCTAATGCCCCCGATCCTAGAAGTGCCTACGCGTAAAGTGGAATTAGTGCTGACAACAAAATCGTTCAAAATGCCGGAAAGGTAGCAAGAAGTACCTCGAAGTGATCGCAAATATGCTGCTGTTCGCTTGTAGACCCACAGGTACAGAAGAGTACAACCACTTCAGCCCTATCAGGACTTAAGCATACTTGTATCCGACGGAAGCCAGGAATTTCTTATCCCATTGTAGAATTGTGTGTGCCGTTTGTAACTAGGTAGGTATGGACATCCGACTCAACACTCTTTCCTCGGTTTCGCTTTGCCAAGGAAGATCAATACGAACGTGCGCGGACTTGGGAATGATCTCCGGATTTTGAGAAAATAATAAATATCTAGTATCATGCAGGTCCAAAGTCAATCTCACGCCAACATCGATCTTCATACTTTCTCAACTACCAAAGAAAAAAGGCATTAGCGGCGTCTCTTAGACTATAGCTATGCTTTCAAACCTTTTAACGGCTGCGGTTGTGGCGGCCAGTCATGTTGTCCATGTTTCTGCTTCTGCAGCTCCTAGCCTACTCCTCTTCTCCAAGACGGCTGGCTATCGCCACGCAAGGCACGTATCTTGCTTTCTACATCTCGTGTCACCGGTCTAATCAGAACGTCTGAGCTTCTAGCATCCCTCATGGCATCCAGCTCGTGAGCTCCATTGCCAATCAGAAGGGTTGGTCAGTCGCGGCGACGGAAGACTCTGCCATCTTCACCAACGGGAGCCTGTCCGCCTACAGCACTCTAGTCTTCATCTCCACGACCGGCAACTATTTGTCAAGCAATGAAACGGACGCCCTGAACGATTTCCTGCTCAATGGTGGTTCTTGGCTAGGCATTCACGCCGGTAAGTTTCAGTTGATGGATGTAGTCGCAGCGCAGAACGTATGTCTGACGGTTTGGAATACAGCCGGTGATTTTGGAGACGACATGCCCAATTGGTTCAAGAAGCTTGTTGGTGCACAGGTAAGACGCAGTGTCCGGATCCCCACGTAGAGCAGCTTTGTTGACCTCGCCAAAGTTCCGATCCCACCCTTGTGAGACTGACGACATCTGTGACGACGCTCAAAAAGAGCGATATCCTCCTAGTGAGTCAATATAAATCTCGGCTGTCAATTATTAACAAGAAAATTCTGGCCTTTCTGACGTTTTTTCTTTCTAGATGGCAACATTCGCCCGGACACCGTTACCATCCTTGACTTTGCCCATCCCTCGACCTCTGGTCTTCCGGAGAGCTACAACCGGACGGACGAGTGGTACGCATACAAGACAAATCCTGCTGGTGATTCTGCATACAAAGTCCTTGCAAAGGTAGAAGAGACATATATCGACGAAATTACTCTATCGCCGGAGCTTCAGCACATGCCTCCCATGCACTCAATTTCGTGGTACTCCATGTATGAGGGTGTGGCTAGGGCTTTCTACACTGGTATGGGACACACTAATGAGTCTTATTCGGAGGAGTACTTCGTCAAGCATGTCACTGGAGGGTTGGAGTGGGTCACCGGCACTTCAGGTTAAAGAGTGGGCACAGCATGACGGGATCGACTGGTCCCATCAAAGAACGACTCAGTCTTGGTTTTCACGGACGACTTCCCTGTAGTCGAAAAAGGGGTTGTCATTGCACTATGGGCAAGCTGTACGTGGCCGATGACAATTCGTCAGATTTAGACTCTTAACGGTCTGATGAAGAACAAGTATTTCACATTCTGGATTTTGTAGTAGTTACGCATCTTTAAGGTTGTCTTCATGCTGGAAAAGTAAACAGTGGAGAAAGAACGCTAGGAATCAGAGGCACAAAGCTCAAATACAGAAAAGGATACGAATTTTGAAACTGGAATGCTCAGGGAAATGAAATTTAGTTGAATATAACACTATGCTAGACTAAAACCAACATGATGAAAGCCGACTTTGCGTCGGACGGTTATCTGGGCCCATGAAAATGAAAAGCCCAAGATTTACACGCCAGTGCAGACGTAATAACCCAGCCACAAGTTGCTGCAACTCGAGTCAACTTGTGTGTTGTACGAGAGGAATTGCTCAAACGTGATGCCCGCGCCGCTGTAAATGGACCAGCAGCTGTCACCAGACTTGACTTGGTAGAACGTCTTGCAATTGGAGACGATACCGGGCATCTGCGGTGTCGGGCCGGTGGAAGGAGGAGTCGTTGGCTGGGTGGTGCCCTGAGTGGTGGTGGTCGCGCCAGGCACATGGACGCAGACGTAATAGTCGAGCCAAAGGTTGGTGCAATCTGTTGGACAATATGTTAGATTATTGTTACCACATCAAATATCTGTACGTACCGGCGTTGATCTCGGTGTTCCAGCTCTTGAACTGAGCAGTGCTGATGCCGTACTTGGATGAGATGGCGTCGCAGGAGTCACCGGAAGACACCTTATAGAAACCGTCACAGTTGGCTGCGAGACCGGGCATGGTTGGAGAGTTACTGGGGGCAGCAGCTGTGGTAGTGGTAGAAGAGGAGGAGGTGGTAGTTGAGGTCTTGGAGGTGGTTGACGTAATGAGGGTAGTGCTCTTGGTAGTCGTAGTCGTCGGCTCTGGGTCATCAGTGACCGTGCCGATCACGCAGTACGACTTGCTGGTGTCCAGTGCTGGACAAGTGATACCGGAATTCAACTTCTGGAGATCATCGACAGAGAGTCCCCAGCTGCTCGCAAAAGTTGCGCAAGTATCGCTTTTGCTAGGGGTCGTTGAGAAGGCGCAGTCGACAGCGCGGCGTGAGCGGACGGAATTAGCAGAGACCAATCCAGGAAGAAGTCCCACGGCGGCCATGATATGAGCGATCTGCATCTTGAGAAAGATTTTTGGAAGCGAGAGAAGACTTGAAAGAGAGACAAGAGAAGTATGATGTTGATAATGATGATGCTGGTGATGATGAAGAGGTACTTGAAGGCGATAGAGAAGCCGAGGTCTTATACTCGCCTTCGAGACGTTTTTCTCTCTTCGAGAAGGCACTCAAATTTCGCTAGATGTAATCCTTCAAGGCAGAAGAAAATGAACTTCTCAGCAACTTAACCTTGAGAACATCCCATTTCCGGTCACATGAACTAATTCGACTTTGGAAAGTACAGTGCTCGAAGTATCATCGTGATTCAGCTTACACTAGCAAACGCTTGTCCCTATTCAACCACATCTAAACCCGAAAGCCGTTCGATGGATTCTTGACTGTAACTCTACACGGCCTGTGGCGTAAAAGAGGAAACGGTTAAGAGTTGCCGAGACATGCCAAGTCTCTCAGGTACCACCTTGGCGCCAAGCGCGGCGTGCGGGATCATTGCTTAATACTGCTTCCGCTCATTGGCAAGGCTGCCGAGCAGGATTCAATACATGTATTATGTAGGCACCCGTGGCAAGGATGACCAGACCAACCGGCCTATCAACTCTATCGGTTTCTGTCACATTGTGCAGACAATTGTTTGCGCCAAGCCGGCCAATCGGCACCAACGAGAACTCTGGTGCTTTAATTCAACTCCTTTCTCCCGTCACACAGTCAAGGGACGGAGCACACGCTGAACGAGCAGGCTGAAATGGGTAGGATGGCGGGAAATCCCCCGGGATTGTGGGGGTGGCCAGGTGCTCTCCTTGCCCGTCCATCTGTATAAAATTCCATGTTTCTTACTTTTCCGTGCCTCTTTTTCCCCATCGCAACGAAATTGTTGCCTGCCTGTTTTGCCCCATCAGAACCGAAGCATCGAATATCGCCTGCTACCATCCATCAAGCTTCCATTTCTGGTAGAGTGTCAGCATGCACATACTATCCTGGACGATCCATTGGTGGCGCCTTCTAGCCTGTGTCTGGACCATCCTCGGAGCTACCACCGTCGTAGCAAGCGATCAGTCGGGCGTCGTGGAAGTTGACCTGGTATTCCCCCGCAACGAGACATACGCGCCAACACCGCTTTTACCCATCATCTTCGGGTTCCAAAACTCGCATTTGGCGCCGGGGCTCGCTCTCAAAATCGGATTCTCGATATGGAACTACAACAACAAGAGCGATTCGGTCAAGACCACGGAGTACGATGTGAGATTTGCCAACTTCTCTAGCAGTGACCCATACTATGAATACCGCGGCTTCGTCATGTTCAACATTGAAGGGACCTGGCAGATCAGATACACCGTCTCATGGTTTAGCTGCACGGAGGATTCATTCAACTATCCCTACGAAATTCCAAGCAATAACACGTCTCATGCCATCATCTTCACTACCAAGAACGCCGGGCAAAGTGTGGATCTCGTGGCCGCCACAAACGAACAGGATTGCTCATCTGACGCGGGTGTCGCCATCAGCGTGACTGATACGCTCAACTCCACCGGAATCTCAAAGTGGCCAGGCGGCGATACGTGTGCTGTGGTGGCATCATCAACGGTCACGCCGAACCCTTGCCAGATCAAGATGAGCGAGGCCGAGGCGTCGAGCATCTCCGCCACTGTCACTGCTCGGGCGTGCGAGGCCCAGAATCCACCAATCGAGTGCCCTTCAGGCAACGATGGTGACGAAAATGCTGCAGTTCATGGGTTGGTTTTTGGAGGAGTGGTGTGTTTGGCTGCCGCATTGGGTGCGATCTTCCACGTTTTGATGTGAGAGAGGGCTTAATTGTAGTTGCATTTCACACCGAAATGACAGATTATGGAACTTTACACGAAAATTGAAGCCTCATTGAGGATCTGTAAAGGTATTTGAGATCAGGCTGAACAAAACTGCCCTGCGTCGTCCTCCTGTGTCTCCTGCATGTAGTTCGCGGGTGACCATGCTTGAAGGATTTAACTTGGATGAATACAGGAAAGAGCAGCATATCATTGGGGCTGATGTAATATCAAGGTAGCAATATGGATATGCACGGCGGGAGCGGAGGAGATTCGGAACTTTTGCACCTTCATATGCAGGGGAATATGTTGGAAGATGATGTGGAAAGGGGGAGGGAGGCGGGCTTGGCGAACTTCGGAGAGTGGCGGTCCATCCCGCTCCGTCGCTTCCGCCAGCCCGCTCATTGAGCTTAACTCTAAGCATGTTGTCTCTCCGGGGTTGGAAGACTCCACCCCAATCCTTCGGAAGTGTTTTCTCTGGAAAATCAGCTGCTGTTCACGCCTGGTAAAGGGGGGGCAGTTGCGTGAAGGATCACTTGCTGTAATATGCGTCCAACTGCCAAGGCTCATTGAACGAGCTGCCAAGCGTAGAGCCTTGCTACTTAGGCTTAGAATCATAGGAAACTTCGGGAAACACGGCATAAGGAAGGTGATTATGAGGCAAGGGCCATAAGGCAGCTCTTTTCGCCCCCGAAAAGTGCAAGGATATAGCAACCTCCAGACAGCCGGGATGGAGGTTTTGTGTTGCGTTGAGATGAAGTTCTTTCTGCCTTCTGGCCGTTCAAGGATTCAATAGTGCTTACTCGCAATTTAGAACTTGTTTTTGATCGATATTCTTAGGTCATGGAGGGTGTTGAGATCAAAGGGGGAATCGGAACGGGATTCAGAACTCTGTGCGAGATCGGATTCGAAAAAGGACTCAGCATCGTGGTTCAAGAGTCGACTTAGAAATAGACTTTGTCTAACTCAGATCTGGGAATAATATAAAGCTGCTGCGATGTTAGCACTACAGGTATTGAAACGAGTCAACTATGTACGCTCCTTCCAGTCTTTTGTCTCCTATCTTGCAATTTTGCCTTGCTTCGTCTTATCATCTCAACGTGTCAACTTCCTACCTTCTTTACCTCCTCATTCAGATTGCACGAGGCTTCAGCCTCTAGAGTTAATATGAACTTGCCCTGGCTCACTGCGGGTCTTTTGGCTGTTGGCTTCTTGGCTGAGGGAGCCTCAGCGAGGTCGCGGACCGGGCTGAGACTTCCCTCCAGCCCTACCTACAGCAGCTTTGAAACCTGCCCAGAGCGTTGCAGTGTGTCCGGTCCCAATATTGGAAACTGGTCGGTCTATCCCGACTTCAAGCAGATGCAGAAATGCAAGCAGACCATGTTCTACCGCTTCTCCCTCTACGACCCCGTCGACGACAAGGCGGCTAATCACCGCATTCATGCCTGTTCGTCATATGGCCCTGATTTCTCCAAGCTTCCTGCTTCAACCGCTCGGATTCCATCATCAGAGTCAGTCGACGTCGACTTTGAAATTGGATGGTGGCAAGAGGGGTTTGGCCAAGCCACCGCCGGCCTTCGCTCTCTGATCAAACAAATGCGCCAGTATGTCGATCACGGGCATGGCGAGACCGACGGGCCCTTCATCATGTTTGGTCAGTCTGGTCAAGCTACAGTCGGGCTCTACATTGGCCAAGGTCTGCTGAACCAAGGCATCGGCGAGTCAGCCCTCAAAAACCTCCACGACACCTTGCCTACTCTCAACGTATCGACACCAAGCCTGGCCATGCAACTTTGCGAACCAGGCTACGACAGCACTCACATCTTTGGATTGATGCTCTTGAGTAATGGTTCATTTGGCCTTATTCAAGACGCCCTCAAGACGTGGGATAATGCTACCTGCCTTTCCTTCGAGGATTC